GAGAGAACTTTGCATGTGTGACATTGTCTGTGTGTGTGGGGGTGGGGGGATTTATTCTCTGATTTTTTGCACTCCTGACATGTGTGCGTTTCCTTTCAGGTCTGCTCTGGAGCTCAAATGGCGGGCGCGTCCCGCATCATTGGAGTCGATATCGACCCCAAAAAATTTGAAAGAGGTGAGGCCTTACCCTCTAGCTTCTGTCCCTTGGTTGTTTACTCCCCCATAGTTTATTCTCTCTTTCTGGTTCTTCCTCTTTCCTTGGCCCAGATTTTGTGGTCGCTCGTCTTTCCTCGGACTATACTTCGTGCTCTCTCCTCTTTCCATGACCCATGCCTTGTTGTCTCACCTTTTGAATTGGACTCGTTCCTTACAGACAAACTCCAATTAACACTGAGTATGAACAAAGCCCATATTACCCATGTGTCAAAAGGAGTACCTCTCCTTGGCCACAACATCTTTCGAAGTATGCAGTGGCAACCTCACGGCTCGAAGAGCAGACGCTTCGCGTCTGAATTCCATTAAGGCGCGAAAGCGCTTACAAATTTCACAGTCTTTGCGGATACCGCTAAATACATCAAAAGACTTCAAACCATACTTGTGGCGCATAGATGAAGTGCACTGCGGTGCGCTGATCGTGGATGCACTAAAAAAGAAGAAGAAGAAGAAGCAACAGTGATGTGTGTATACACGCTGGAGAGAAAGAGGGAGAGAGAGAGAGAGAGAGAGAGCAAAGAGCCCTTTCAAATTATTCAGACAACCGCTGCCAGTACTTCAAAGGGTCGCTGCCAAAAATTGGCATGGGTCCCGTCGGCAGGAGAAGGGTGGTCACTGGACTTGTAGTAAGGAGGGAGCAGGCCAGCTATATATGGTGTAGCTTCGAATTCAGGTCCATGTTTCAGCAGTTATGGGTTACAAACTTTTACTAACTCGGCATGTGATTTTCAGGGCTTCACTCCACTACTTACCAAATGAGCAAAACTACCGTAGAATGAATCTTCTCCCAGAAACTGGAACTATACGCCGCCATATGTTTTGTCTTTTGTGATGAGTGGAGCGAGGGCCTTAGGGCCACTGCACCTTAGAAAAGGCAAAACAAAAAAACAAAAAAACAAAAAAATGAGACGGCTACTGTGGTGTTTGTAGTGCTTTCGTAACCCAACTCTTGGAACACAGACCTGAATCCGAATCGGATTCAGGACGTATAACTTGCCTGCTCGTGGTCTGCCAGCAGTTTAATGAACATCCTTCCTAAAGTATGAGTACCCTGATGAATTTTTTTCAGGCGACCTTCTGGAAAAGAAAATGTATCCTATGATTCGTACGAAGTGGGCCCAATTTGTTTTTTCTTCTGTGGACATATCATTTTCAAAAGGGAGCGGCAGTTTTGGTTACCACAGCATACCCCCTTTTTTTTTTCTTCTTTTTTTTGTAAATGCGCCACAGCACGTGCGCTCGTGCCATGCGCTGCACGTGATGCGCCACATGTATGCTTCAAACCCAAGGTTTTCTCAAAGGGAACGAAAAATGAATGAGCCACAACCTTTTAATACTAAGTTAATAGTTTTGGATATATGCGCAAGGGCTCTACTCAAATCTTTCTTAATAAGTTAATGGGATAATAGGACTTTCCAAACTATTTATCATTCCATCACACCATTTTGATGCTCATCACACCATTTTGATGCTCATCACACCATTTTGATGCTCCAGATAGACTTGAACACAAATAAACTATACTTTGAACATAAAAAAAAATTAGCTAAATGTTTAAACACCAAAATGTTTAAACATTCTGAAAAAAACAGATTGGCAAAAACAGGATGCGCATCGTATTGAGCTGAATCACTACTCATTGTACTCAAGTTTTGAGTTTTGAATTTTTTTAGTAATATCAGAATTCAACTTCTCTTATACCTTAAAGGAAAAAGCGGTCCGCGCGTGACGCTCCCGCTGGGCCCAGCGAAATTCGGGTAGGGAGGTCCACGCGCGGTACTGCAGGGGACCGAGGAGGGCGCAACGGTTGGGGAGGCCGGTAACCGGGACGGCCGTCGTCGTGACGGGGGGGGGGGTGTCGGTTCGTGTC